TGGTGCTGCTTCTGCTGCTGCTGCTGCTGCTACCACGACGATCACGACGACGACGACGACTACTGCTGCTGCTGCTACTGCCACTGCAACTGCTGCTGCTACAAACTATGGCGAATTAATACTTACTTCGACGAATAAATTCTCAACAGAACCGCCGAAAAGCCCTGCATACAAATCTCCATGCAACCCCTTTACGAAGAACTCTGGTCCTAATCGATAGAAGGATACGTGCCATGGCAACCTAGGCCGCTTTTTTGCCGTTTGCCGTCTTTCCAGCTTGCTGGTAGGCCGTCGCCGTCAGGCTCCTGGCGCGGTTATGCCTGATTTGGGGTTTAGGCTTTTGGGGTTCAGGGTTTCGGGTTTAGGGCGTCGGACACGCAGACATGGGACCGGGTTGACATTCTAGGACTTTGTGGCTGCTCGGGTTTGGGCTTTCGGGTTGGGGTTGGGGGTGGCGGTCGTTGTCGACACTGTGCGTAGTTGAAGCAGCAGTTGTAGCAGTGGTTGTTGTTGTTGTGGTGGTGGCGGTGGCGGCAGCAGCCACAGTATCTGAGAGTAGTCATCCTAATGGGAGGCATCCTGAAACATGAACCGGTATTCCAGGCTGATCCTGAGCCCTCACATTTCACAAACAAAGGTTTGGGGACATATGTTGGTAGAATGGTAACAAGGAACCCTAAGGAACAATGGCGGCAATTATTCGAGCATCTTTGTCTGGCTGGCCCAGTTAGGGAAGGGGTTCAGGGTTTAGGGCCTGGATGCCTGATCAGCAGCTCAGGCTCAGAGGCAGTCCTGAGCGCATCGAGGACATCGCGAACTGGTATTGTGAGGTTGAGCGACTGGTGAAGCCCAACACCCTGGAGCATGACCTGCGGACTTGGAGCTCTTAAGTTTCGGTTTGGGACTGCTGGGATTGGTCTCGGTGCTTCCGTTCAAACAGCCCCTGCAAAGAAGCTACGGTTGATGATATAAACCCTGTATTGCCTATAATAAGGAATATACCATAGATCCCATAGCTTAGGGTCCTTAAAGTCATGCAGGATTTCTATCATCAACAGTAGTAGAGAAGGCGATGCAACTACTGTAATGCCTACATGGGGAAAAGATCTAAAGGCCGTCATGAGGACCAGGTGTGGCCAGATAAAGACTCCACTGCTGTCCTGTTCCTCATAGCGATTTCGCTGCATGCATATTGAACAGTGTGCAGGCAATGCATACCAGCATCTGCCCAGAAGCACTCAAGCCATCCCTGAAGCGCTAAAGCCCCGAAACCCTCAACCCCTAACCCTTACTGAAGCCCTTTTCAAGCATGGGCCCGACACCCTGAAACCCCAAATTACGGGCCATAAACACTCCCGCGATCTTTCTCAAAAACCAAAGCTACCCTACACCCTCAACCGCCCCGAAACCCCGAACCGTGGCTCTAAACCGCCACAAGCTACCCTGAACCCCGTTGAGGCGACGGCCAAGCGGTAGTTGAACCCGAGAGCATAGCCTGGGCGCACCGAATTCTGGGTTTTTGGGGTGTAGGGCTGTAGGGTCTCGGGTTTCGACTCACACACTCGCAAAGCAGGAATGGCGGTAACGATAAGTGTCTGAGCTTAGGGTTTAGAGGTTTAGGGTTTTTGGGCTTCGTCACTCACTCTCGCACAAGCAGGCAAGGCTCCACAAGTCCGTCACGCGAGGCTGAACACGCAAGCTTCCGTGAACAAATACAGATAGACAAACAGATCGAAGCAGAACTGCGCCAGCGTGTTCAACAAGATAACCCAAGGCCGGTCTCCACAGAGAGAATCTGTGCTTGTCGTACAGCCATAAGGTTTTTGTTGGGCACATTTTTCCGTCCGCTTGTCTTAGCCTCCGGTATCCGCCTAACACGGAAGGGGTTTTTTCCCTCCCACTTAGCAAGGACGAGCCCGCATTGCAGGGTTAGGTTCAGAACAGAGGGCAAAGTGAGGCCCAGGTATGTCGGATTGACTATCTCTGTCACCTCACAAATTAGTCCACGCATACACCACTTTAGGTATCGTGGTTGAGCAGATCATTACGATCCAAGTACGCTTGAGTGCATCATGAAGAGGGGTTTAGGGTTTAGGGTTGTTCTATCCATGGTTTAAGAGGCTTGTTGTTGAGACTTATGGGACCTTAGAGTGTAGAATATGCGGGCATTATGGTTAGAACGGGGTTTGGCGATGCATTGTGCTATAACTATATAGGGATGATATGAGAACACGAATACTGCAAAATCCTGCTGCTGTCTCAGTTGATATGGCTTAAGACGGATGGACGAGCAAGCAGCGACTATAGACGGACTAGGACTAGCCCTTTTGAGCTCCTGGCTTTAGGGTTTCGGATTTTGAAGGGTTTAAGGTAAACCGCAAAGGCCAAGCCCCCACTCGAGGTCCAAACTGGGGGTGGAAGGGGGGTTAGGGTTTAGAGACCATGTACACGGAGGGTTGGGTTGTCTTTGTTGCCTCCTACATCGCAAGGACACACAAAGCCTGCAACCAAGCGCCATTTACGTAGGGGTTGAGGAGTTCGGGCTTATGGAACCTTCCACAAACCCTCAACTTTAAACACCTTTCTTACACAGGCTTGATTAGTGCTCGCCGTTTTTTGATCCCAGACTCTGCCAATCAGCTGGGAAGCAGCACTTCCAGACCATTGCATATTAGTGCTCGCCCTAAACCCTTAAACCCAGTCGAGGTTTCGGGAGCAGGGACATTCCTGCATGCAAGCCACTGTTGTGCGCCGTGTACTGCGAATGAGGCTCAGGCCTGGTCCGTGCTTCCAAGGCTCGAGATTCAGGGGTTCAGGTTTTAGGATGCTTAGGGTTTAGGGTTTAGGGGCTCAGGTTTTAGGATATGCTTTACACTTGTTTTTTTGTGGCAGGCTCCTTTTCTCACTGCAGTTACGAGAAGGATGTCGTATACCAGGATGAGCCATTGAGGTTTAGGGTTTGGGGGTTATGGGGTTTGGGCTTAGGTTTGGGCTCTCACGTCTCGCACAAAGCACCTAGGAATCCTCCAGCCTGGGTACGACAATACTGAGTTGAAGCGATCAAGCACCGAGCAAGGGACGGTTTAGGGAGACTTAAAATTAGTAACTAGGGACGAGACATAAATCTACCTGGGCCCTGAGCGGGTTCTGCAGGGTTCATGGGGTACAGAGCAAGTTCTTGCGCAGGAAAAAAAGCAGAGTCATGCTTCGAATACCCCGCCCCCCCCCCCGTCATCTCAGTTACAACGATCCCTTGGAACCTGAAATGTCGCCGTCTTGCTAGGGCAGCTGTGGCTGTAGGTTTGGCTGTAAAGCTTTCCATTTTTTCGGGCTTGGGGGTTTGGTGCGGTAGGCTTTCGGAAAGGGTTTCAGGGGTGAGGCTCTCCGGGTTTTGCATCGCCACATGCGGTTCTGTCACGTTGATAACGATTGCGGTGATGAGGTCATGCCTATCAGCCCCTCAACTCAGTGCAGCCGGGCTCTTTCGGTGCTTCTCATGCACATAGATGCTGTCAGTCGCGCACTTTCTCATTTCCATGCGATTTTGTCTTAGGGCTCTTAGGGTCTGGTTTCTCGTTCATAAATCAACTTAATGACGGGCTCAGCCGGGCGGTGGCTGGAATTCTGCGAAAGGCCAGCCACCGGCGCCAGCAATCGGCAAGGAAAGCCGCAGTTTATGGAAATCTTACTGCCGCATACCATCAGCAAGTTTTATCCGGCGATCCATCGCGAGGACTTTCTCAGGTTTGGCTTAAGCTTCTGGGCATTGCTGCTGCAGCCTGTGACCTCAAGCATAAATCGCAATCCTCTGCTCACTGATGGATTTAGCATGTCCCGTCTCGGAAACGGGCAGATTGATGTCAATGATCCCGGTGCCGGGGCGGCAGAACCTCTGCCCAGGGTGCGAGGTTTACGGCAATGTTAAAGTACAGGAGTTCTGGACTCTCGCAGACTCAGGGTTCAGTGCATTTAGATGTGTGTACAGTGTACGGGTTTTCA